ACTACATGAAAAATTACTGCAATTTGATTGGTTTAGAGCAGTGGTATTTCAGCTTAATTTGAAATACCTACATGTGAAAATTACAAACCTTTTGCAGGTAGTAGTATAAACAAATAATAGCATGATTTGTGCGTGATATTTGGCATAAATACCACTCGTGATATTTCAAAATTGTCTCAAATTTGAAATTACGTATAACAATTTCGAAATATCACTCGTGGTATTTATGCCAAATATCACTACAAATCATGCTAGTACAAAAACAAAGCTCTTCATGTCATATGTCGTGGTAGCTTGCCCTCGATCATGGAAAAAAGAACATGTTCCCTTTTTAACGATGATCAACTGAGTAGTATAATAAATATGTTAGCTCCCTCGTGAATTAAACGCTTTTTTCATTCCAAAAAAGTTGATCTAGAAGCCATATGTATGAGCTTACCCCTAATACGTGAAAAGGTGAAAAGGGGTGCCATAACAGAAAACAAACAGAAATATCTTACCAAATCTTCATCCACTTTGCTGGTTGATGAAGAAGCACTTTCTTTGCTCTGTTTTATTTTTCTCTCCCCGTTATCTCTAAAATCTCTCTTTGCGGGAGAACGTTTTGGCATGGTACAACAGCACCTACAACGCGACGGTTGACAACTGACAAGCGATCGAGCGAGCGGCAAACAACCCAGCAAGTACGTCATGTAAGGTCACCTATTGACCAATAAAAACGCGGGCTCGAGTATTGGAGGGTCATTTTCTGGCCCTCTATTACAATCTTCCCCATGGTAAAGTACCCCCTTTTTGAACGCTTTTATAGCTCATGTGATGGCAAAAACAGAAGGGCATTTTGTATGCGCATGCGTCAACATGGGCTGTTGAAATGCCACAGAGGCATTTTATGTGAATTGTTTACGTTCAGTACCAGCATTTGCAGGCTGTTTTCTGGAGCTGAATGACGTGTATTGGGTGCTACGTTCCACAAACATGTTCTCTATGGTATCGTGGTATTTCTAGGATGAAAGTGAGTTTATTGTAGCCTCGCTGTCGCCCTTGAGAGGACAGTCTTTCCTTTCGTAAAACAGTGCATCGAAGACAAGATGGCGGCTGAATGTTCTTACGACCTAACATTTCGTGCACATTTTTTGAGCAGGAGGAAAAGGTCAGTATGCTAATTTTTCGTTAAACAATTATCCTACAGACACTTAATTCTTCTCAATAGTGTGACTCTAAAATCGAACTTAATCGTTTCAAGAATACAGTGGTTAATTAAGTGTCCATTCTGCCGTGAAACTGTTTTTCACCCTTTCGCTGGCTTGTTTGTCTCGAAATCTTGCCTTTCCCCCCCAAATTAAGTTAATGATTAATGAAACTAAGAATACTTCTGCGAATAAATGGCGCTTTGATGAAGGCTGTGAAAAATCGCTTTCTGTAGTAATTTTAGCTTTTTTCACCGGTACGTCTTCGTTGAGAAATAAAATACACGCACTTCAACTACAAATTTAAATCAATATAATGAGGCCAGTAAGATTGTGTTTTGAAAATAAGAATATTCTATCATTTAGTTATACAAAGGAAAAAAATTACAGCAATCGGTTTGAATTTTGATTTTTCCACCTTATTTTGATGGTACACTGTTTGTTTACATTTCATTATGCAAATAAATATAACACTTTGGCGTTTTAAAGAAAATCTAGCTTAACTCCCCAACCCCAAAATAGCACGAAATGAAACGTTATCAATACACCTTTTAAATAAATCCTGGCCTCTGTTGCAAAAAATAGCACTTATTCGTAAATGATACCATTTGTGGATACTACATTTGTTGATATGCTAATTTGTGAGACATTTCATTCACAAATGATGTTGAATGAGAACAGCTTCTCCTCTGTATTGAACCACATTCTTGTTTAATGCATCAGTTTCTGCCATATAATTCTTCCATGATGTACAACTGACATAAGGGGTTCATCTGGATACAGTAAAAAGCTCCCAACACAAACATTAATAACAGACAAATTCACTCCATCCATTTGTGTAATGTTTGTTGTCGCATTCCAGCTCATTTGGGTCCTCTAGCAGTAGCATTTATTTTTTGAGGAAACAGCATTACATGCACCCCTTTAACAAACTTCCTGTCTTATGTTTAAACAGGCTTTGAAGGTGGACAACATTGTCAGTTAGATTTATGGAGTGATGGCCATTCTCTGTTTTGAATGGATCACTACTGTCATCAAATATAGATAAATAACAAGAAATCGATTGTGCAACACAGGAGCTGTTAATCAAGAGTCACTTCAAAATAGTAGCTTTGGAAAATCTCTGTATCTTTTAGAGTTAAAGAAAAATAAAAGTATTGTTCGTTTTTGTGGGGTATGTGCATTCGTTTTGCCTGCAACTGAGCTTATGAAATGCTCAAGTGCTTATGTAGTACATAATCACTTGTAATTGTTGCTGTCTCAAACTAAATCCATTCTAAGTTCATTTCTTGTAGAATATTTTTTATTTTCTGCAAAAACTTTCGAAAAACTGTAAAAAATCCCATAGATTTCATGTTTTTGTGGCATATATAAACGCGTGTCTCCATGATCAGTTTAACATGAGACATCATGCTAATAAATAAACCTCGCGTGGTAATTTTTTTCGCTTTTAGTCTTACATGTAAAACAGCTGAACATTGCTACGATGCATTTCCCCCTTGATAAGTAAAACCACGAGTTTGGAAATCAAACCATAGAAATGCATTGCTTTGCCAGTGAAAATTCGACTTATACAGGAACATGACTTTTTGGCGTTGAGTCTTGAAAGACTTTAAAGGGCCAAGAAAACCTACTGCTGAAAAATCTACAAGTGAAAAACCTGTTTAGAAAACGTCTGATTTTTGTCATGGAGAATGTTTTTTGTAGGAAAGTATGGTATTCAAAGCACCAACGAAATGGCTTTTAAAAGGACCGTACCTTTACGCGAGTTTTCGATTTCCCGCTATCAGATTTGATGTGCCCACGCTATTGTCGTTCAGCGGATGCACGCATGTGCATGCAAAATGCCCTCCTGTTGATGGCAAAGAGGAAAGCGAGGGAGAGAGACTTCCTCCTTTTTCCCTTCCTATCACCCCCTGCTCCCGCCGTGCGCGTTACGCGAAGACGACTGGGGACGAGTCAGTTAAATACTGAATAATCCGCTTTTCCGTTTCTTGATCTTCCATTCACACTTGATCCGAAGAACACAGTAGTACAAAATGACAACAAAATTATGGTCATGGTCAGGCTCTGATCTTTATTTTAATTTAATTTGTGACTGTGTGTTTAATTCTAATCATAATTTTTTACGGGACAAATCACAGTTTCAAAACAGATACCCGGTTATACACGGAAAGAAACACTTCCGAATAGTGCAGTCTGTTTGCTAAGGCATACTTTGCTAAGATATTCTAGGAGTAAACGCTAGAAATTTAAATTTTCCTGAAAAATCCAGTGAGAACATCAAATTGTATAGTTTTCCACTCAGTCTGCCCTTATTTTTCATTAACTATAGAGCGAGCCATGTTTGTTAGTTTCGTTGCTAAGCAACTGGTGGCTCCACCTCTTCAATAATGATCCTGTTGGCCTGATTCCAGCTGGTCCAGGCGTCACAGTAGTTGTAACCACCTCCGCATTCGCCAGCTTTAATTTTGAATTCAACTTTTACTTTTCCTTTTGCAATCCCACCACAGTAGCCCTCTATGTTGGTAGGCCTGTGTATATTCAAGTTGTGGCTTTGGTAGACAGATCCGTCAATAGCGGCTGGGATCCCACATGCTTTGTTGTTGAAAGTGAAGTACCACCTCTTACAACAGTTTGTAGAGCCGGTTATCCGCAGGTTACCCATGTAAACAACGCGGAGGTAGGTATTGTCCTTTAACTTGACAAAGTCGCATTCCTGAAATCGAACAGAAAAGAGCTTAGTTAGAAATGGATTAGTCTGCTTCACAACCGTTCTTTGTGTCGTCACGCAACGCTCCTCCCTGAGGAGCATTGCGTGACGACACAAAGAACGGTTGTGTAGCAGACAGTAGAAATGGACCATGTTTTTCCTTCAAGCATTTCCTTACGTGAACAAGACCAGAGTCCTTGCCATCCTTGCCTGTCCCGTATGTCCAAGCACACTGCTTCCATCGACGTGAACACCCTCCTGGTGGCCCGGGTGGTCCAGGCGTTCCTGGGGTTCCAGGTGTACCGGGAGTTCCTGGTGTCCCCGTCTGGCCTGGCGGTCCTTGAACACAACCCTATTGAAAAACAACAACAACAACAACATCAAAATAAACATTTTGCAAAACCGGGTCACAAACAGCAGAGAGGAAAGAACTTAAGGAAACTGACAAGAATTGGTAGTGTTTGAAATTGAAAGCGCCACTGAAACATAAATTTCGAGGTTATTTCCGTATTGAAAAGAGCCGGAATCAGGCGCGGATCTAGGATAAATACTGACCGATTTCCTAAACGAACACCGAAGGCGCGAGCTTTTAGCGGGCTCCGGGGGCTGGCTTCCCCAAGAAATTATTTGGATTTTTACTCCTTAAAGTCCCCTTTCCTGGGTTTCCGAGTCATTCAGATGGGATATTGGCCAGATTTCAACTTGGAAAGTGTTTTCATTTTTAAAAATATAAATTTTAATATGAAAAATGTGACCGATTTCCGTAAAACGGTGGAAACCGGTGTAGATCCGCACCTGGGAATGCATGGGCAAAGAGAGATTTGCTTTTCACCGAAAATTATAATGGGAATTTTCTTCGAGTTTTAATGAAGTTTAAATTAAATGAGAACGCGATCACAGAAAAAAAAGTAAGCCACACACCTCTGGACTTCTTATGTTACCGTAAATAATAACAAGTAACAAAAAGATCAGGTGAGCATTCATGACGGAAGTTTCGATTCCTGTTGGGTAAAATAGTAAAACAAAATAAGCTTAATATGCACCAACATTTATATTAACAATCATGAACATACGTTACTCAAAAAGCTCACGGCAAAAATCATGTGCGTGATTAGCCAAGTGGTGTTTGATTTTTGCACACTGATCATTACTCGGTGTTTCAAACTGATTTGTCCACGCCACATCAGACGATTAACAGGGAATCAACCTTAAAAAAAACCTCGATATCGTGATGCTTCTCTCGATGAAATGTCATACCTTAAAGGTAAAAGTGCTTATCAAATTGCTTCGGGTTTGTGATACCAACGTCCGTGTGGTCTGAGCTATATAGTTCGACTTTTTAGACTAAATAAGCATGTAATTGAACGTCACAGATACTTCCTAATATTTTTGACAGAAAAAATACATGTATCAAAAACAATAGCGACAAGTTTAGAACCCACGTGCAGCCTGCAGGCAAATAATCAGTAACCTAAGTAAATGAATATAGTTTGCCTTTGCTAACGGGAAGACAACTGACGAAAGAGAAATCAAAATAAAGAGGTTTAACATCAGTAAAATATATCATGGATATGAAAGAGGTTGAACGGAATAATGTAGTAACCGTCAGGCAAAGGGAATCAGAAATGTTTATAAATGAAAGTTATTTGTTGCAGAAGCTGTTGTTTCATTTTGTTTTACTAATTAAGAGTTAACCGAAAGAGAGAAGGCATCGTGATACATTGATAAAAATGATTTTTGGGGGGGATCTTAAACGTTTTTGAAGGGAAAAGTAGGGGATGGCAAAATTTCTAAAAGCAGGAAGGGGGATGCCAATTTTTTTTAGATGCCATAAAACATTACGTATTTTGTAAAAAAACCACTGCACAAGACTTAAGTGTAGGTTCCTTGTTTTCTAGTTCAATGAAGGAAGTTTAATAATTTTACTATTAATACACAATTATCATTGCAACCTTTACTTTTATCCTGCTTTTATTAAGATTGTTTTCGTCATAATTATCACCATGATCATCATACGTTAATCATCACGGAATAATATACTTGACTACAGGTCGAGCACGGTTCTTATAACCAAAAGTGATCATATGCAAATTCCCATCAACTTGGCGGCAAATCTCTAGGAAGCTTCTTTGATTTACATAAAGGATGAAATTTCTTATTGTCATTAAAAAGGATATCGAACGAAGATGTCGGTAGAAAGCTATCCTTCTTAAATCTGTGGCCACAATTGGTAGCTGGTTGAGAATATGCTTAGACTACCATACATATGCCTTCAAGGACCTTCAGTACGGAACCTGACGCTTTCCGTGGAGAAGGCAAAGTGGCACTGATCTCAAATTATATTTTTCTTACGTAAACACTCATTATCATAGTCCTTATCATTCCCTAGTAAAAGGAAAACAAACTTGAACCAAGATAATTTTGATCCAATGCATAGCAATTTTTGTCTTTTTTTTCCTCTTGGTGATGCAAAGCAATGCTTTAAAAGTAAAATTAATGAATTAACTTCCATCTCCTTTGTATTTCGCTGAACGTAAAGTATGTGGACGTTTCGCGGAGGAAGGCTGACTAGCATTTTCCCTTTTCTCTTTGTGGTCAACTGATCAGGCCATTCAATACCTTTTAGCACCACTTGTACAGTCAACTTCCTTTATAGCGGACACTGCAGGGACCTCGAGGTGGTGTCCTCATTAGCGAGAGTCCGTAATAGCGGGAGTTCATTTCAGTCAAACGTCTGCAACTTGCTTTTGCCGGGTTTAGCTGTTGTCTGTATTATCGGGGTGTCCGTTATGGCGGGGTGTCCGCAAGGTGAGAGTTGACTGTATAACTTTTCATCTGCCTTTTTTGATGACTTTTTTTGATTGTTTCTTTTCACTTTGCGCCTGCTCTTTGCTAGTCTAGGTCCCAAATTTAACCTGTCTAGGGATGATTGCATTTTATTATTGAATCTACGCTGCCACATGGCCCTGGTATGCTATTTCCCAGCGAGGCACAGCTAGCTTTAATCTCTTACAACTTTCTAGCTTTATTACTCTTTACACCTGAAATACTAAAAACTGTGAAACGTTGGTAACCTTTAGTTTTCTATTTGAAATCATTTTATTATATTACCCGTATTTCACTTCACTCATCAAGACTAGGTGGGGGGGGGGGGGGGGGG